GATACATTTCTACAGTTTTGTCGTGATCACGGCATTAGGCAAGCACTTCACATTTCGAGTGATACCGTAACAGAACGAGGTAACTGAGAGATTGAACCGTACCTTGCTGGAGAAGGTATGATGTATGATGCAAAGAGTGGATTGCCTAGATCCTTTTGGGGCTGAGGCGTTGATTTATGTGAGCTATCTTGTGAACAAGTTGTTATGCACTGTGATACAAGGGAAGACTCCTATGGAGCGTTGGTCTGATTCGGTGACTAGTGACTATGAGTCGCTTCGGATATTTGGGTGTCTTGCTTATTACCATGTCAGTGATGATAAATTGAATTTGAGGGCGAGGAAAGCAGTTTTATGGGATTTAGAGAAGGAGTAAAAGGATTCAAGTTACGGGATCCATAGGATAAGAAGATAGTCATTAGCAGAGATATCATATTTAATGAGGCGTACATGATGAGGCCTCAAGTTCCTCAGCAGGTGGAGGAAAACCATATTCGAGAGATATCGCAACAGGTGAAAGATGATGTGACTCCACCCATTTCAGATAGTATTGTATCCATTAAGACTCCTACAAAGATGATACTGGAAGGAGATGGGATGACAGCCGGGCATATAGAGGATACAGTGGATGGTGAGACTCAGGAGCAGGATCTTGTTCAGGAGTCCATTATAGCAAATAGACCTAGAATGGTGATTCGTCGGCCAGCTAGATATAATAATGTCATAGTCGCATATGCATTAACAGTGGAGGCCGTTGATGATGTGGTTCCTTCTACATTCAGGGAGGCAGAGTCTAGCTCTGATTCGATCAGGTGGAGGGAATCTATGAAGGAGGAGATGCGGTCTCTTCAGAAGAGTGACACTTGGGAACTTGTAAAGCTACCTAAGGGTAAGAAAGCTATTGGTTGCAAGTGGGTATATGCAAAGAAGGATGGATCTTCTATTGGGGACATTCGATTCAAAGCCAGATTGGTTGCCAAGGGATATACACAGCTTGAGGGCGTTGATTACAACGAGGTATTTTCACCCGTTGTGAAGCATTCTTCGATTCATATTTTATTAGCATTGATGGCGTAGCTGGATTTGGATTTGGTCCAGATGGATGTTAAGACAGTCTTTCTATACGGAGATTTAGATGAAAAAATCTATATGACACAACCCTTGGTATTTAAAGCTGTAGAAAAGGAGGATTTAGTGTGCAAGCTAAAGAAGTCTCTTTATGGTTTGAAACAATCATTGTGATAATGGTACAAGAGATTCGACAGCTTTATGATTGGCCATAGGTACACGAGGAACACATATGACCCATGTATTTACATGCACAAGCTACAGGATGGTGAGTACATATATTTGTTATTATATGTTGATGATATGCTTATTGCTTCTAGAAATTCTTTGGCTATTCGAAAGTTAAAATAGGAGTTGCCATCCGAGTTTGAGATGAATGATCGTGGAGAAGTTAAGAAGATATTGGGTACGGAGATCGAGAGAGACAGGGTGAAGGGGAGATTGAAGCTTACACAGAGGAGTTACTTGTAGAAGATGTTGAAGAAATTCAGCTTTGATGGTAATGCAAAAGTAGTTAGCACTCCATTGGCTCCCCACTTCAAGCTTTCATCTAATATGTCACCTGTTTCAGTTGAGAACAGAGATTACACGTCGAAGGTTCCATATGCCAGTGCGGTGGGTAGCGTGATGAATGTTATGGTGTGTACGAGGTTAGATTTGTCATAGGCCGTGAGCATGGTATCGAGGTACATGCATGACCCCGTGAAGAGTCATTGGGAGGTCGTAAAGTGGATTCTACGGTATGTTAAATGCACTATGGATCTTGGTTTGATCTTTTAGAAGAATGAGAAGATAGGACATGATTGTATTGACTACGTGGATTCAGATTATGCGGGGGATCTTGACAAGCGTCGGTCTACTTCAGGATATGTATTTACATTTGTAGGAGCATCGGTATGTTAAAGATGTATACTTCAGTCTACAAAAGCTCTCTCTACTACAGAGGTGGAGTATATAGGCATGACTGAAGCTGTGAAGGGGCTTTGTGGTTGCGTGGATTGTTGTAGGACTTGGGGATTGCACAAGAGACCCTTCGGGTATATCATGATAGCATGTTGGCTATCTATTTGGTGAAAAACCAGGTTTATCATGCATGTATGAAGCATATTGATGTCAGATTCTATTTTGTTCGTGATGTTTTGGATGATGGAGACGTCATATTGGAGAAGATCCACACGAAGGTCAACTCTGCGGATATGTTAACCAAAGTTATTTCAGGTGTGAAATTTGGTCATTGCTTGAAGCTATTGAACATTCTTCAACGTTGAGGGCCTTTGGAGGCCATTTGGGTGAGCTACGTTCGGCTTGATTCCTTGGACAATAGGATACGTAGGCAGTCTTTTCAATGCAACCGGTTGGATTTGTTGATTTTGATAGGGGAGATTGTTTGAGCTCTCTTTTGGGTTCCCAACTTATTGTGGATTGAGTCTGTTATCGTGATTCCACTTCGTACTAGATGCAACAAGTGGGACATTTGGATGTTTTGGTGTCGGCTCAGTTTTGGAAGAAACTTCCCCGAGGTGGAGATTTGAAGGATTGGCGAACACGACGAAGAATTGCGCAAGAAAAATCCAGTAAAAGTGCCAGGCAGCTTGGCGGTTGACCGCGAGTCAGCGTCGGTCGACCAGAAACGTGCACGAGAGTGTAGGAGGATCTAGACCTGAAGGCGGTTAACTGTCGCGGCCGACCGCGCGGACCCTGTAAGGGATTTTTGTCTTGTGTTTTGATTCGGTCGACCGCTGCGGTCGACCGTGAGGACCCTGTAGCAATCGAGTGCTGTGCGGTCGACCGCCGCGGTCGACCGCCAATCGGGTTCTAAGCTGGGTTTTGGATTTGACCTGTTTCGTTTGTTGTTAGTATATAACCCTAAACCTGATTAATTAGGGTTAAGCAATGACGTTTTTGAGCAGCTTTGAGAGAGGATTGTTGCATCCTATTGTGGAAGATTTGTGAGAGATCTAGAGAGCTTTGTTTGAGGGTTTTTGGTGAGATTTGTAATACTATTTGTATTCTCTTGATTTCTAATAGTAAGAACTCCCCCTCCTTGCCCCGTGGCCGTAGGCAACTTGCCGAACCACCTAAAACTTGTGTGTTCTTGCTGCGGTTATGATTTGTGCTTGTTTGGTTGTGATCTTCCTCATCCTTGTTCGTGTGGGATTGGGATCCTCTACTCATGGATCCCCTCCTAATATCTCCTAATGAGGAGATCTTGGCCATCAATCTATCCATGAACGGCCAAGATCTCATCCTCCTCCCCCTCCTACTTCTCCTCATGAGGAGATCTTGGCCGTCCATGGATAGATTGATGGCCAAGATCTTATGAGGAAATATTAGGAGGGGATCCATGAGTAGAGGATCTCAATCCGTTCGTGTGATACGATTTCCGCTGCGCACAACAATTAATTGCAGTGAAACAAATAATTGAAACCGGCCCAGGAAAGTACGTTTTCGAGCCAAACAAAATGCAGAGAACCCAAGAATCTCATCAAGGCTGGGCCAGGAAGAACTGATCAGAATCCCTTGGCTTCATGCAATCAAAGCACTGACCATCAGTCCTTCGGATCCCTTCGTACGTAACCAGAATCATTTCGTTTTATATTTGAAGAGCTCCAATCGTTCCCTGAGTTTATTCCCTGAGTTCATTCCGCTAAAATCTACTTTCACATTCAATATTCTGCTTATAGTACCCAATTCAGAATCATTAATTTGTTGTCTCAGCAAAAAGATCCAGACATTATTTTTCGAAAAAGCTTACTTGTTTGGATGATGGTATATTTTTCCACACCTGACATTGAATCAATTTTTACGTTCAACAGTCTGATAATGTTCAGTAGGTAACATGAACCTAGTCGACTAGTTTAGGAATTTTCTTCAGTGTACAGTGCACATGCACACTATAGACTATAGAGTATCACCATAAGTTCCAGGGCACGTTCCACAAAACTATCATGGATATTGGTGTTTTTTTTTCTTTATAAAACTAGCATCGACTTTTTTTCATTCGAGAAAGGTATCGTGAGCTCTCAAACTGCAGAAATATACCATGAACTATTGAAAGTTGTTGCTAAAGACGTTTACATTATAAATAGAAAGTCTAAATTACCCATGTTTATATCTATCGACTCTATACGTAGTTGTCATGCGCGTTACTTGTTTTGGACAAAGTTACCTTTATGTACTTCAGATTCTTAATTATAAACTTTGTGAATGATACTCGAGGAAGTTCATGAAAGAAAATTGCAACGGGGAAACAAGGAGAGCTAATTATACAAGAGATTAGGCAAGTAACGAGCTCTTTGGATAATATAAAATTGATGTCCAGAGTTAAGCAACAAGAATACATATTCTCTAAAGAAAAAAATGTGATCACAATGTTGACGACAAATTTAGAATATTTTCCTATATTAAGTTGCAAAGATTCGGAATTTATTAATCTAATTGGCCTTGATCCACATTAACTCGAAAAAAATTAATCGATTCATGAGTCTAAACATATTTGAACATGTACCAATCTAAAACTTTTTATCTATTGCTAATGCAAAATCACAGTTTGAACATGTACCAATCTAAAACTTTTATCTATTGCTAATGCAAAATCACAGTCAAACTGAATGGATTCGGTTTCAAATTAGAATTCATTACATCAAAACCATATTTTGACAAACCAGAACCATAAAATCGAACAAAGCTCCCCGCCCTTGCAGTTCTTTTTCCAATTGACAGTACAACCTTCTGGATGCTCGACGGTTAAATATTCCTAAAGGCAAACCTCAAATAAGCATGGCAATGAAGATCCATCATCACAAAAAAATAAATCAATGGTAAATCCACAAAGGTACATCGAACAAATAAATCAATAATAACCATAACAACCATGAAAAATTAATAATAAGAATCACCATAATATACCACTGCAAGAAATCGAGACAAAGCAATTAGCCAAAAAAAATAATTGTAAATCAACCTATATATAAATTTAAATTAACACAAACACCTATTCGGACGGTCATTACAGGTTCCCATAAGTTAACATTGTCACTTGTTAACATCATCAGAGGAGGGGGGTACAGTTAGCGCACAAACATTTCTCACAAAGACTGTTCAATCTCAGTTCTAATACAGCGTACCATGAGATCCAGCAGAATGCAAAAGCACAGATTTGATGTCTTCAGGCAACGCACATGAACCATCATTACATTGCTGAAAAAAGGAGGAAATATATTGTTATGAACCAAAAAGTTTGAAGGTGAGATAGCTTGTGGACAATGAAAGAAGCTAAACCCTTACTTCAGCTTGGAAAACATCGAGAGAAAACCCATTGAAACAGCTGATAACTGCCTGTTGGATGTTGAGTCCAAGTGCATCCAGAGCCCTCAATGTTGAGAGCAACAAACCGGGCCTTCGAGAACATAACATGTGGATATTCACTGCTTGGTCGTCTGTCATCTTTACTTCCACCTGTGTATGCAGAGAACATTCACATATAAGCCCGAAGCTCCAGGTCTTTCTAACATTAAAAAAATTGTAGTGGTGGAATTGGAAAAAGATCTTGGTGCCAGTCATTTATGCAACAAGTTACGATTATGTGTGATGGGTCATAAAATCTATATCTCGTACACTTATAGTGATCTAGCATGTGTGATGGGTCCTAGAATCCATGTCTTGTACACGAATAGTGATCTAGACAATTTGAATAGGGTTAATTGTGAATCCACCCTTTATACTGTGGTGATACAACCACTAATACCCTCTAAACCTTTTTATTACCCCCAGAATCCCAGACGACGTTACTTCTTTGCCTTCAATCGAGAGGGAAATTTAGTGTTTTTCTCCCAGTCAAACTGAGAAGGTAATTTATCATCATATTTAGGACTGGGCATATTCGGTTCGGTTCGGTTTTATGCCCAATTCGCATCCAATCCGAATTTTTCGGATGCTCAAAACTCTCATCCAGATCCAGATTTTTTCCCCTTCATCCGAATATTCGGCCCAACCGAAATTCGGTTCGGTTCGGTTCGGTTTCGGTTTTGAATTTGCAAAAAGTTCTATCCAAAGACTTCTGTTGTGAATTTGCAAGCTGGGCATTGTCCTCATGATGAGGTTCCTGAGCTCGCCAACAAAGCTTTATTAGACTGGTTATCATCTTTAGAATAAAGTTTTGAGTTTATATAATTACGCAGAGAACTGATGTTTTAAAGATGTTGTTCATATAATACAGCATGCTTATCTCTTGTAAGTATCATGTACATAACACATTTTGTGATTGATTTGAATCTTATGTAATTCTCAAGATCTTTTCTGCGAAATTTTTTAACTAAAGTTTAAGTTTATTTAATTACACGGGGGGTGATGTTTTGTATGATATTGTTCATATGATTCATATTGTTGTTTTGTTGAGCATGATTCACATGGACAACACACATCACCGCGACCCAGAATTGAAAGCCTATAGAATTGCACCCCGACTATGGGGGTGTCCCAATGACCAATCAGTGGTAGTGTTAGGGGGCACAACCCAGGAAAAATTTTCTAGTATATGATTGTGTGGTGAGGGTATTTTTGTATTTTCAACCCTGTAGACAGAGACTCTGTGCTATAAATGTCTATCGTCACGATTCGTCAGCACCCTATTCTTTTATTGTATCCAGAGACAACAGAGAGGTGAGGTTGGGGTTCGAGAGATTGGTTGTCATCGTGTATTGATAGTACTGGAATCTTCGTCTGGTTCTATCTGAGGACGTAGGTAATTGTATGATTTGTCGAACCTTGTTAAACATGTCTCTCTGTAATTGTTTCTCTGGTTTCCTGCTCCTTTTATACCCAATTTGTGAATTGTCTTTCCACTGTGTTGTTAACATTAACAATGGCCCCAGCATGACATGTCAACCTAACTTGAAATAATTCTCATTTCGACTTCAGGGGGCCTAAGTGCTTATACCCTAGTTTGGGTGATGTAAGTGGAACACCCTCATAGTATAGGGGCAGCATTAGTACTTAAAACTCTTTTAAATACGGGTGAAGTTGTAGGAAAAAACTTAGTTGGTTTTGACAATTTGCGATGACCAAAAACCTAACAGATATTTAGTGATGAGCAAGAGAAACCTTCTATTAGAAAGAAGTCAATAGAACAACAAAACATTGACCTAATTAAAGTAATGATGAAAAGAAAAGATAAAAAAAATGGCATGAGATATAACCGTTGTTGGCTGGCCAATAGGGCTTGGCAAGGGACTAGGACTTGGGCTAAGGTCTTCCTTCACACGGCATGGCAAAGTGAGTGGTCTGGGTGTTAGAGGTTGAAAGCTTGTTGTATCAGTAGGAAGAACAGAAGGGCTAGAAGATGTAGACTCAAGCTCATTGGTCAGGTCATTGATTTTTTGCAAAAGCTCCTTCAAGTATTCAACCGCATCACCGAGAATGGAAGCTCTGTCCATCTGTCACAACAAGACAATTACATATTATCAATACCATAGGAAATACTTATTAGCACAAAGAACTAAAAGCAATCATGTATATCATAGAAATATACAATAACTCTTGGATTGGCATCTTATGATCCTTTACAAATTAAGAAATAATAATATTGATTAGAGACAACATAGAATGGTAGAAACAAAGTTCTCCACTTCCTAAAAACTTTCCATCCTCTCAATAATTTTGGCCAAATTTTCAGTCTATGAGGCAGTTACACGAAACTGGAAGATTTATACAGGAAGACTGAACTTGTTTTTTTATCTTCTTTTGGTCCCAAAATCTGTGTAACTTGTGATACTAGTACTATATTGAAACTGCATCTATTGCATAGCTATACTCTTTAGGGAAAGCATCAACAGACTCTCCCGTAAGCCAAACATCCAGAAGAGTTAAACTAAGGGGCTGTTTGGTTGGTTTCCTAAAAATCAAGAAAAGAAAAAGGGTACATGGAAATCAATAAAATATTATTTTCATCCATTTCCATCCCTAAAACTCACAACAACATCCAATAAAATATTATTTTCATCCCACAACTCATTTCATATCATCTCCTAAAAATAAACCAAACACAAAAAATTGGTCACATCATCCAACTCACCTCATCTCCATCACATCTCATCTTTAAAAGTCACTCACATCATCCAATAATATGGTGACAACTCATCTTATCTCATTAACATTTTATTTCCATCCATTTCCTCCAAAAAAGCTAGGAAATCGAATCCTTAAGTGTGGGTCACATCATCCAATAATATAATGACAACTCATCTCATCTCATCTATTGTCTTATTTTTATGAATGAACCAAACACAAGAAAAGAACCTATTACAATACATAGGTTTCTTATAATTTATTTCCTTATTTTTTTAGCCAACCAAACAACCTCAAAACAAATTTTCTTAAAAAATCACTCACACCATCCAATAATAATGTGACAACTCATCTCTCTTTCTTTGATTTCCTTTTTTTTTAGCCAACCAAATAATCTCAAAATAATTTTTCTTATAAATAGGTTTCCTATTCTTTGATTTCCCTCTTTTTTTAGGCAAACAAACAGCCCCTAATAGGAGAGCTTCAGAAAACCCAACAAGGGAATGAATGGTATGACTATGACACTGTTTGACCTTTGCTGAAACTAGGGAAACTAAATTCGTTTTTCAGAAATGTATGTGTACAACTACCAAACAAAAGCTATGAAAGAGAGATGTAATATGCTTCATGTATCAACAACAATCTAAAAAATAAAACTAGCCATGGAAGAGAAGCTAGAATTGGTATTCGCTAATTCACCTCACCATCTTCCAGGTAGAGGGCAAGCCAAGTATGGTTAAGGTGGGGCACATGTCCAACATCAATTTTTGGGCACCACATGCATTCTCCTAACCTAAGTAATTATTTTCGGTGCTACAATAATTTGTTATCCTCTTTTAAGAAGACTCATGAGTTTGCTATCTCACTAAAAAAACCATATGCCTCTTTCTCAAATTCAATTACTGATCAATATTATTAATTTAAGTCCTATTGACATGCATCTTTTTGTAATTTCACTTTGCACTTACCTATTTTTGTTTGACCTGTAGTTGGAACTAACTATTATCATATGAATGGCTTAAAGAATTACCAAATTCAATAAGAAAAAAATAGTCATTGCTAGTTTCCAAAAAATAATTTTATAAAAAATGATCCTTTATATGTATAATAGTCTATCTTAAAATGAAAGCTCTATAGATATATTTTTGGTTCATATCTTTATATCATGTTGATATTATTTGTCATAAAAACAATGATCCTTCATATTGTTTAATAGCTTATATTAAAATGACAGCATTATAGATACAATTTATGGTTAATATCCCGATATCATGTTGATATCATTTCTCTTAAAAAAATTAATGCATTCTATGATTATTAGTGGACTTGTACCGTGCACAACCTGCATAGAATTTCTGGCTCTGCCTGTGAACAGACCAAGCTGATTGAACCAACACAAACTTGTTGTAGCATTACAAATTCAGCAACCAGATTTTATTTAAGCAAAAGTATGCACATTACCAACAATTCAGTATTATTGACTAGTTTGGCAACAAATTTTGCCAACCAGGTTTCAGATAAGTAAGAATTGAAACTGGCATTGGCAAGGGGAACGAAAGTCCTGTATAGACCTCTCTATAGAAAATCACATAGGATCAAGGAGGACTTCACAAGTGTTCTCCAGCGCAAATCTATTGAACACCAGAGGCCTGTAAGCAATCTGATAGAACTACTAATTACCAAGAATTAATCCTCATTGCATATAAAAGCTCATCATAAAAGTTGAAGAGAACTTAGGATACTAACAGCAAGAGATCAAATTGATCCGTAAAATAGACCTACTGATAATAGGTGAACATTAGCAACAATGTAATGTAGCAGAAACTTAATCACGTTCTAGTTCAAAGAATGGAATTGACTTGCCACCAAAATGTTAAGCTCACAATTCTATGTTTTCACGCAACCCTTGCCAACTACCCAGAATTCCTAAAAACAACTAAAGGAACCCATCACCAATTACCAGAGAGCAAGAATCTTTCAAAACATTTTTCGGTAACTGCAATGGAGAGTGCTTGATGCTCTAATTTGCTTTTATTTTTGTTGTTCTTTCTCGTAACAATGACACATAAATTACTTGATGAAGAAAAAAAAATTATGGGCAAAAATAATCACTCTGAACAATCACAGTTTCAACTTAACCTCCCGAGCATCAAACCCCAAAGCCACATGAAACATAAGATTGTAAACTCATTATAAATGCAACCAAAAAATTTGCTACAAACTCAAATCCCAACATCTAAAGCAAAGAGAATTAAGCACTGTGTCTCTCACCTTGCTGATTTTAGGCACCACAGATCTCAGCATATACAACCTATCATTCAGCTTCTTCCTCCGCCTCCTCTCAGCCATCAGATTCTTCGCCGGAGCCGCCCCGTTCCTCTTCCTCCTCCTCTCATTACTCTCATTGTTGTCCAAGCTCTTCACATTCTCCTCAAACTCACAATTCAACCCAGACCCATCAAAGCTCCCATCCTCAACCCCCTCTTCCTCATTCTCCTCTCCAATCAGCGTGGGTTGAGCACCAATCGAAGGATTAGCCTCAGCAGGCCTCACAAACTTGGACCCATTAACAAATTTAGGGGTTTCAAACGCTTGAAAACCAGTTTCAGGCAAATGGGTCGTTTGAAATTGAGCTATTGGGTTTAGATCAGTGAAGCTGAGGGGAGCGCTGAGCCCAAATGGGTCCAAGCCAAAAGGGTTTGTAGAGAGGAGAGAGGAGAAGGATTCTTGATGGTTTTGGAGAGGTTCAGTTAAGTACCAGTCGCTGTTGCTGATGGTGTTATTGCAGTTGGTGGTGTAACCGAGAAGAGACGTGAAAGTTGGAAGAGGATCTTCTTCTTCCATTGTTGGGGCTAAGTTGAAGAGGGGATTGGGTTCTTCTTCTTGTTTGATTTCCCGTTGTTGCTCCATTGAGAAGGGAGTTGGGCCTCTGTTGTGGCTCTGTAGGGCTTTTTAGTGAAGGGGAGCCGGGGGAGGGAGAGCGGAGAGCGAGAAAAGGACACGAGGTATTGATTTGGATATTTTCACAAACCACCCCTAAACTTTGGGGGTTACGTTAAATTCTGTAAACGTTTCTTGACAAAACCCCTGAACTTTCCTTTTTTATTTCATATATTAAACTTCAGAATTTTCCGACGGACATAATGGAAATGACTAAAATGTTCCTACAGAAAAATTTCCCCAGTTTAGCCATTTGCCATTTAGTTTTTTGTTAGTTTCAAATGAAGGGCGTTAATTGAAAGTTTAAGGGGATCTTTGGTGGGCATCAATGTTGGCTTTCTTGGTAGAAAAAGGCAATTTGCCTTTAAACAATAGTCCCACATTGCCTAGTGTAATGAATGGGTAGGTGTTTAAATTGGTTCTCTTCTCTTTACCCTTTGAGGGTCCCCTAGAGGAGGTGTTTTGGTCATTCAATTTGCTTGGGCTTTGGATAACGTGCACACCCGCCTACGTCGCCATTTTTTCAATTTTTATTTTTACACGTATCTTTTGACTTGATAATAGCAACGGCTAGAACGTGCGCACGTTTGTAGAACGTGAGTAGAGTTTTGCGGAAAGTTCAAACGGGTGCACAGCTTTAGTAAACGTGGATTTACAAGCTTTTAATTATTAAATCCAAAATTATTGTCAATAATTATTATCTGTTCATCCGAAATAATTTTAATTTGTGAATAATTACTGTTAATTTATTTTAATTGTTTATCTGTTAACTGTTAATTACTGTTAAATGCTTTTAACTTGTAATTAATTTATCTGTTAATTTGTTACTATTTTAAATTCAAGGAAATTAACTAATTTTCCAAAAGAGGAAAACAAAGGGAAAAAAAATAAAAATTAAATTGTTCTGTTCATAATATATCTTGTTCATATTTTATTGTTCATTAGAAATACTGTGTAATTAATATTACTTCTCTTTTTCTACTGTTCATACTTACTGTTCAAATATCAATTGCTTAGACTGCTAGTAATTTTACCAGTTAATATTACTATTTTATAAATAATCAGTATTTTCAAACACCCTTTGCAAATAATCGACCATAATAAAATCTTGAATCAAATACATACCCTAAATTCATACTCCTAAGTAACTAGTTGATTGGTATTTGTAGGCATTAAAAATTACCTATAGGTTTTCGAATGCTGCTCGAGGCGAAGAGAAGATGAAGAACGTCGTTATCTAAGTCAGAGAGATCGTTCGATACAAAAAATGAAGCGACAAAACGACGAAATGAGAAAGCGACGAAGCGCGCGAGACGACAAAACAACGGAACGAGACACACTCAGGTGTCTCAAAATCTGAGACACTCAGAGGTGTCTCGAATTTCGAGACACTATAGTGTGTCTTGCAATTCGAGACACCAAAGGGTGTCTCGCATGCGAGACACACATTATGTCTCACAAGTGAACTCCCAAAACACGTTTTTCGATAATTTCTCATGATTCGTACAATCCACTGGATTCCTAACTACCTTGGGAACATCCTCAAACACGGGAAAGTTGTTACTAACTGCAGATACATCCAAATTATGAATTCTTATCCTCAGATATGGCGTTTGAAGCCTAAAAATACCCCCATGCATTTATGGCGGGTAATGACAGTGGAGGCGGGTGCTGACGTTTTGAGAACAGATACCCACTAATTTCAGAGAGAAAGGTGAGATCTTGGCGAACTTTGTGCATAAAGAGGAAGATTTAGAGAGATCTACATGCCTTCACCCCTTTCCTTGAGATCAAACATCGCTTTGATCTCGAGAAGAGTACTTATCTCACCTCGCTGAGATATTTACTTCTGTTCTTGTTTTCCAGTTAAAACAAGAACACCGAGCTTTCTTCACAATCAACCCGGATTAGTGAATCGGTCGTCCACGGACTAACGCATCCCCAGCACAGGCAAAGATCCCACACAAGCAGCGATTGATAAACAATCTCTGTGAGTGTTTCTAGGAAATCTTCTTTTTATTTCTTTTGTAGTGAGAAGTCTTATAAAAAGGCTCACTCCATCGAATCTATTGTAAGTCGATAAACGATTGTATATGGATTCTGTAACGAAATTAATTTCCAATGCAAACATGCTAGCAACCACAATGAGAGCCAACAGTCTCGTTGTCAATGTTGTAGTATTGCAACTGATCAAGATCCCAGTTGATGCAGCGATCGAGTATGAGTTCGACAAATAGAAGTTTGAAGAGTATCTTTCATCCTCCTCCTCTGAATCTACCTCGCCCCGCAAGTGCAAGAAGATCTCATCTTCAAAGAAGGTTTGTTGGTCTTCAGATCTGATGAAGGCCCAGGGTGATGAGTCTCGCCCAATCGTCGCTGAGACTTCTCCTCGTAACGCCCCTCCGGTATCCAACTAAGTCAGAGTTTCTGTTCACAACAACTCCTCCTTAGTCAAGGAGTCGTTCGATGAAATCGTGCCAACTCTGACAAAGAAGGTTCGTCAGAGACAGGCCAACATCTCACTCGTTAGCTCGCCAAGGCCTTGGAGCAGGTTGACGGGGTTCGCTATTACGCGGATCTAGAGTCAAGAAAGTGTCGAGTGATTCAGCTGCCTCAACGACATGAAACTCATGTTTCCTACAAACCGTCAGCCAATGAATGGGTCTATATTAAAAGGACTCGTTCAACTCACGAGGAGCATATTCAGAAGCGTCGCCCACTTGACACGCACGCTCACACTCTTGTGCGACAAATGCAAGATATGAAGAAGAAAGAAGTGGCCAAAGAACCACCAAAATCTCACAAAGTCTGGATTCTAAAATCCAAACTTGCACGAAAACCAAGTTTGGAGACAGTGGGATCTGCCTCATATAGCTGAGACACCATTTGGTGTCTCACCGGTTAAGACAGCATGAACTGTCTCGTGGGCCGAGACACATCAAGTTGTCTCGCCCAAGGTCGAGACACCTTAAGCTGTCTCACCCAGGCGACCACCTCCACGACTGCTTCTTCGCCTCCATCGATGCTCGTTCCTGGTCCATCTTCTGCCACGCCACTGGTGAAAGGGAGCTTGGGTCCAGTGATCAAAACCCAAGTAGCTCCTCAGACTAGGGGTCGTTTATAGACTCCTATCAAGCCAAACGCTTCTCAAAGGTGTCCCGCCGCCCCTAAACAAATCAGGACACCTCGATGTACATATTCATGTGCCGTGTACAAGAGAATTCCTATCACCGCCTGCCTGGGAGTACACATTGAAGTCCAGGAGCCTATTAAGACCCTACGCTCACAAGGGGGTGGTTCTAAACGCGTGACTCCTGACGTGATTTTGAATCGCTCGAAGACGACACACCAATAAATGATAGGGTGCTCCGGTCATCATGCTGACGAGTTTTACTATCAAGCTAGAGGTGTGAGTAAATCTCGAAAGAGAACTGTCCAAGAAACAAGGTCTCATTATTCATATGAGAGGCTTATCAGGATAGTATTATCAGAGTGTAGCTGCTCCAAGACCAGTCTGTGAAGAGTCTCGGTATTCCAGCGACCTTCTACTGAAGCGTCAAAGTCAAAACCAAGACGCTTCCAAAAGAAAAAATCTCTCGCCCATGACGATGAGTTCCCAGAGTTTATCATCAACATGGCCTACAAAGAAAAGTCAAAGAGACATTCAAGTGACTCCAATCCCGACTTTTCTCTGGGAGTAAGAATCAACCCAATAATTTCCCAACGAAGGTCTCGGCTCCAGCTAGGAGCCATCAAACACAGGGACTACAGGAGAATGCATGAAGGAATCTCTTCGGATGATGAGCTCTCATACACTTGCTCTGCAATCGCCTCTGATGACACAACATCTTGCATAGGACTAACTAGAGAAGTATTCACAATCACTCCTGACCAACTAGCTCAAATGCTTCAAGAAGCTCTAGCTAAGCAACGAGAAGAGATTAGAGTTGAGATGAAAACAGAGATGGAATTGGCCATGCAGCAAATGAGAGAGTTGCAGGTTCAAAGACTTCAACCACTTGAGTCCAGTCAGCGGGTCGAGTCTAGTTGTCGCACCACACCTGTCACACCCGTTCAAAATGATGCAGATGATAGTGACATAGAAGTGGACGAAGTCATCATTGCTGATTCACCCCTCAATAACACTGGGGGTGGTTCAAATGATCCTCCCCAACATCACCCAAAGAAAGGTGGAGGTGAAGACAAGAAGATGATGAAAGAGCTTGAGAACAAGGTCAACACCTTGATGTTGGCTCAAGAGGTAAAGAAGATCGGTATTCTGTATCCGTATCCAAGAGAATAGGAGTCAATTCTATACCCGCCGAAGTTCAGTTTGATCAATTTCACGCCATTCGACGGGAAAAGCTCTCATACTCCAACACTTAATCTACTTTAAGTCTCACTTGGGTATGATCTCTGGTAATGAGCCTTTGATGATTCGATCATTCATAGGCACCCTTCGCGAGGCCACCTTCGATTGGTATCGACGCCTCAAGCCAGGGAGCATCAGCAGTTGGGATGACATGGAAAGCTTGTTTCTCAGCAACTTCTTCGATGACGACACTGAAATATCAATCGGAACTCTTTTGGGCGAGAAGCAGAAGAACGGAGAGTCAGTCGACACCTTTGTTAAATGCTTTCGAAACAAAGCGATGAACTACTGAGATCCGGTCACGAAGGAATTCATACTCCAGACCTATCATAACAACCTCTCCCTCGATGTTTTGGAAGCCATGGGGATTATCCCATCTAAGACTTGGAAGGAGTTGAGAATGCACGGAGAACAAGCTGAGCGTTTTCTCAAAAGAAAGAAGGTTGAGATAAGCCAACCGACAGCGCCAGTGACTATTGTTGATGTTAATCAAACATTACAGTGACAATCGCAATAGCAATTGCCACAACAGTCACCTCAAATTTAGCAGTACTCCTTCAGGGACGATGAGGTTCCAGCTATCTTCAAATACCTCGTGAACAATAACAAAATTAAGCTACGACCTATTAAAAATCAGGAGGAAGCTAACAAAAATTCAGACCCAAAATA